TGATAATAACTTTTGAACTATTACTTCAGAAGTTATTACCATTTTAAAATATAGACTATAAGTGAGGTTCAGCTACGCCAATATTTATTAATATTATATGATATATCATTTACATTTCTTGGTCATACCCCTCCTCCCGCTTAGATATAATAATGTGAATAACTTTCTAGGTACTTGTCCAAACGTTGTTATCGATTAATCATTTTCTTAATTAGATCATTTTTTATTTTATAAGCTAGTTAAATATGCATGTCACTATTTAAAAAAACAAAGTTGACGTTCTTATAACGTATAAGAGATGAATTAATAAAGTAACGGATAATTAATAAATCGAGAAATATACGAAACTAATAAACACCAAAAATAATTTTCTTAGTATAATTATTATTTTAAGAGAAATCGAGTGGCTAGCATTAAAAAAATCGCTCTGTATTTAGATATAATCATTACATTTTTTTTTTTTTTTTTTTTTTTTTCCTTATGGTTCCAGCGTAAAGAGACGTTAATAAATATTAAGAACGTGTTTTATTATCCACCTCAGACTAAATCATTCACTTATTTTTTTTTCAATTACAATNTTCACCAATTGTTCTCCTTCTCTTATTTTCACATTTTTACTGATTTTATACAATATATGAGTTTTTTATTATTAATAAACCAAATATAACACGATTGTAAACAGTAATTAGTTCCTGAAAGTTGTTATAACTGGTAAAATTTGGATGTCATTCGATAAAGATACCAAATCACAGATAGATAATATTCATTGACTACCTTTTCTTATTATCGTTGAAATAAAAATAAAAACACTCAATCAATTTCCCTACTTTTTAATTAGATAGAAAACAAAAATCGAAACAACAACGTCGACTATTATAAGAAAACATACGAAGAACAGAATAGGAAATTCTAGTTGACAAGACTCAAAACAAATATTGGTGAAAGGGCTAATTCTTTGGCGAAAACAAAATTTCAGACAAAAGAGAATATTAGTCGTCGGAACGTTAGAAACCACATGTGCGATGTGTAAACAAACTACCCAGCCAAGCGCAAGCCAAACAACAACCAAATAATAAAAATAAGAATCCTTAACCCAAACACGAAACGATATTAAGCAAAGTACTGAAATAATACTACACCGGCGGCAAGTGTAGTTTTCGAAATGGGGACGACCGCTTTTTTTTGCTCTTTCTCGATCGCCTACCACAAACCACGTTCGAAATATCTGTCTGAGCCAACGTAAAATTCGATCTAAATGGAGCGCATGATCCACACGATTCAAAAACACGGTCAGCAGTGTGCACGATGTTCGACATTCGCCGCACAACAGACTGTAGATGATCATTAATAAATTATGACAATGATGTAACAATCATAGTGTTCCGACTTGATGGTCGCGAAAACCACTGGTAATAACTGAGTGGTTACGGGTAATAGACCGCGTGTATGACTTGTACATTTTTGAAAATTATAACACTTGACTCCCTAGATAAGATACAGTCTCATGAAAATATATTGACAGGGGATGTTAACGACAAAGATCTGTAAAACAATAACGATAATTGGGAACAATGCCAAAATCTAGGATGTGATGCGAGGAGCTGGACCATTAAACGGTCCTACTACACTTGTATCGGTTATATCTAGAAATTATACAAGAATTCTGCATTTTTTCGAAATGCAAAGCAACTGACTTGATTGGTAGATGGTAGCAACCTAATATATTGCTGCCGTTATAAATATTATTCACTATATCGAGTAATGTCAAACCAAAGTAATTTGTTATATTGTTGATAACAACATACGTACGTTTGTCAGTGATTGAAACATTAACAGTATTCTGTCGTCACTAAATCGATAAATACCAAGGTTTTGTCGTACTGAACACGGATAAAGATCAATGTACTACTTTTCCATAGCTTCAAATAATTTAAATACAAACAAAATTTTTTAACGTATACAAAGATAGAAAGAGTTGCCCACGCCTAAAATACGCATTATTGGTTTAACAGAGTGTACTTGTGTCAAACATCTTTTTCACATAACTTCTCAGCTTCAACACCATACGCTAGATATGTTAGATCATTTTTTAAGTGTCACTTGCAACACCTCCATTTGTATTTTTATTTCAGTTATCTTTTTTACGAATGTCGTGTGCAATATGCATTGAGTTATCATTGTTACTATTGTGGATCAACAGAAGATCAGATTCGACTTTGTTGAATGTATTTTTAGATCACTATCGTGAAAAATGAAATCTAAACAATTTTTTACCAGTCCATTCCTATATTGATATCGTATACGCGGTTTTAAAATACAAAAGTATTAATATTTTTATGACGGCGCCTGCGTAGGCTGAAGAGAACAACCAAAATATATATTGTCATTGCTAGAGGTACGTGGGTGAATCGACCGATCCCGCATTGTTCTGTAACATTTTAATGAACACCGTGTACAACAAACGGCCTTCATCAGAGCCCAGATGAATTCGTACATAAATCTCAATTCCAATATACTTCCTAGAGGTTTAAAAAACATATATTAAATTGTCTGGGAGTAGGTAATAAAACAATGGAAATCAATTTGTCGTCCACAATCATATTGAAGTGATAGTCTACATGACGTATAATATAGGCGCCGTGTAATAATATTAAGTCAAAATAATGTCTTTTCGTTTTTCGCTAAGTATTCAAAAACCTAAAGCTATGTTAACAGCACACGTATGCCATACTCATACATACACAGCATGTTTACAGGAATGAAAAAATAAATAAATATTAAACATTTATTATTGTCTATTTATTTTTATCGTACCTCATTAGACATAATATATTACCCAATGAACATAGGAAATCCTCTGCGAGATTGCGAAAGTCTACTGCGAAATACTCCAATAATAATTAGCGCTGAATAGAGGCTTTCTTTGTTGGACATTAGGCACCTTATCACCGGATACGTTAATTGTTCATATTATTGTATCCCAGACAATACCGTGTAACGAATTGGAGGCCGCAAATACTAATAAGTTTCTAGTGTTGACGAAACGAGGCTAATATCAACGACGATCCTTTTAAAACTGTTGTACGGCCGAACCTCATTACACTGATTTTTGGCAATCGTTCGTTTCCGACTACTACTAAGTACATAAACACGCATATAATAAAAGAGAGCTATACCGATATGGAAAGTCTTATAGAACGTGATGAGGTATTTAAATAAATTCCATAACTCGTATGTAAATATACGTAAGAGAGTAATATTTCTACGTGTGTTAACATAGAAAAATAATCATTTGACTACCTAAACTTTGTGGACAAGAGAAACTATAAATATGAAAATTGTGAGTCACACTATCATAATACTTCCATAAATCATAAAAACTTGTTATATTACGAAACACACATTTGAGTTTTAATAAATACGTTTTTAGTCATATATTCCATTATGGATTTTTTTTATTAATTATTTTAAATTGTCCCATCAGACATTTTATTTATTATTACTTCGATAATGTGAATCTAAAACATTCGCGATTGGCTTATAAGTCGACGTAATATAATATAAGTTACAGTACATACAATGCAAGTTTATGATACACGAAACATTGGAATACACATCGCAATATGAGTGCAAGAGGGCCATATATAAAATTTTGTAATATTTGACATTTTGATACAGTTCAATATGATGTAATATTATCTATCTAAATATATAAGCAACATACATACAATCTTATTTGAACAAAAATAAATTCTTAAAATGTAACACACAGTGTAACTTTTATGGAAGGTTAATACTTAGCAGTTTATTTCCAAACTTCTTTCTTCAGGATAAAACAATTTTACACTCACACGTGTCAAATAGTTATATTGTAATTTTTTCAATTACAAATGTTGTTCGTTAAAATATTTGTGGTATGAAATTTTTGTTGTTATCATAAAACGAAAATTAACATGAAGATTTAAGATCATTTTAAATTGGTGTCGTTTAAGCCGTTTGGACCAGTTTAGAGTTTTGTCAAAAACTATGTTTTCAACATTTCACAACAATATATTAAAAGGAGTTAAGACGTAAGATTGTCAAAGACTAAGAGAAACATCAGATAGTTGGGTCGCATTAACGAGTTCTTCCATAACGACCATCGATAATAATTCTTATTATTATTATCATAGTTAATTCTTATCTGACGACACACTTTAATACTTACAGAACATTATTATTTTTTATACAGCTGTTCATGAACAAACAATATGAACAAAATTAATAATCTTGTCATATAACTGTCTTGGATATAAAACAAATCGCGTAGTATTAATTAAATAAGGCCGAATCCAAAAAATTCTGTTTAAGAAATCATTGCATGTAACTATAGATTTGACAATTATGACCTGCACAACTCTTTTACACACTTAAGTTTGTAACACTTATTGGTCTAGAATTTTAACTATATTTTTAACCTACTACAATACTTTCTACGCCGATATTAAAAATATAAAGGATTATAGCAAGCTCTTGAATTAAAAAGTGATTATTTTTGTAAACACTATTTTTAAATTTGAAACTAAAATAATAATTTAACACTAAAATGAAATAATTTTACACTTAAAAAGTGAACGTTAATATCGCTTTTATATACAAATGCATAATCAAGCAATTATCTTCTTGATTTGAACGATTAAATTACACTGTTGTAGGTTTAAGGAAAAGTCCATACGTATTTATGAAGTTTGAATAGGATTACTAATTGAATCAACTCAATTTTAAATGGATATTCTGAAGAAAGCTCATGATGAGAATTTCGGAAAGATGAATAAAATTATTTAAGCAAATATTATGGTTAACTTAAAACTGTGTGAACTGGGCTACTATCATAATTTTTTAATGTGAATCATTTTCTATCGTACATTTATAATTGTAGTTAACGAAGCGTGAAATCTAAGCTACATAATTATAAATTTAATATTTATCTTAATAAAGCAAAAAATCGTGTCAAGACCTACCAGTACAGGTATGTGATCCACAAAATAGCACATAAACAATATTGCCACAGCATATCCGATGGATACGTCCTGAACTAGGGATACTTTTTTGGCCAAACACGGCGCTCGGCTGTTCGTTGACGATGCGGACATAGATGTAGTGGACGGGAGATATCTGGATCCGTACTTATATGGCGGTAAGCCCATTGTAGAAGTGGCATAACTATCGAGTGTACCAGTAGTGGCCATGGCATTCGTATCGATAAGTCTCTTGGTCTCGTCTAATCGCCGAAGCGTATCATCCTGATGATTGAATTGATGACGGTGATCTTGATGCAAAAGAGCTCTAGGACCACCGTTTAAAAACGTCAAAGGTGCACCATTAGCTGGTGACGTCGGAAGGCGCATTAAATCTTGCACCAGCGCACAGTCGCTTCGATAGGGTACCACCCGATCACTACAGTCGCTGACACTGTGACGGATACCACCACGACTACAACTAGACACTGTGGATAGATCTGACATGCACGAGGACAAATCAGAAGATGAGCTCACAAGTAGAGGATTAGGCGGACCTTTCTTACGGCCGGCAGCGCAACCTAATGCTGCGGAAGTTAAAGCTACGACAGCTAAGGATGCGTGTAGTACAAGGGAAAAAACAGCGTAACGCCTGTCCGTAGGAGGAGCGCACGGATCAGCCTGAGCGATAAGTGAGGCGGCTCCAACACATGCACTCACTATAGAAAGACTAGCTAGGTGATAGAGTAATAGTGGTCGTCCGCCAGCTGCCACCGTACTTTTTTTGCGTCTTAATCCAGCCATCAACGCTAACGAAGCTAAAGTACCGGCTTGCATAGTATGTGCCGCCGTCCACAACCATTGCACTGCACTGCATAAGGCTGGTTCGTCTGGCCTGAACAGCGATAACGCTGATCCGGAAGATGAAGCTATCTGCTTGGCAATAGCCTCACCGAGCAATGCGATTAACAGCGGGTCTGACGGTCGCCACTGGCCTCGGCCAAACCAAAGAACCAGAATAGCCCAGCACAGCCATACTATCGACAGAGGACCGCCAATTCCCGTCGTCAACCAAACCAATGCTTCGGAATGCATCATTCATATTTCTGGAATAAAACAAAAATCAATTAGTAAATTATTTAACTTTTTCTTCGGTGTACACTAATAATTACTGTCTTAAGAATGCATGAAAAGTAAATTTCTACCCTCTATCCTGCAATCAACGCATAACATATGGATATTAATTAAATGAAATAAAAATCATATAAAATTCTCTTTCAATGAAAATCGTTTTAAAACGATCTTTAAATAACAAGAAACGTAGTTATCGTTATAAAAAAAAATAGTATATGCTAAAAAAAGCTATTGAAATTCATAGATTATAACGTTGTTAAAATGCTTCGGTCGCTGTTATGGAATTACAAATTTAAAAAATTTACACTTCGTTATTTTACGTTTTTATGAAGAGTAGGCGTTACACGGATCTAAGATTTACACAACAAACATTAGTTGGGATTTATTCTTGGATGACATTGACTTTACACGAGAAATTATAAAAGAAACTATGAAGCAAACTTCATTGCTCGACACAGCTAGCTTAATAGTCGGCTATTTTCAACAATACAACGACATCCGTCTTAATCACCAACACATTTCTTATTTAATACTTTTATGGTTTCAGATGAACTCGGTTGACAGTACGCAAGAAGACTACGCTTTATTATGGGGCGTCAACTGGGAGAGAACGACCTCCGCTCGTATGATATTAACAATTCATGTTCTAACCATATGGCCGGTGTATTTAAATGAAACTTCGCTGCCGACAATTACGTTTTATATTCCCTCCATCTCTTCTTAAGATCATAATAATGATAATTATTGGTGAATTTTTGAAAAGAAGAGGAGTGGAAGGTCAAAAAACAAAACCCACAGGTTAAAATGCGTCGAATATTTTAATTCAATAGTTACCATACACAATTTAGGAAAAATATTACTGGATCTATAGGCATTTCACTTGACCGTTCATAATCGCTAGTTATCTACACATTGTATCATTGACTATGTATTATGGTGCTCTCACTTAACGTGCGGTACACAGTTTTCTCCTCTACGCGCATTGAAGTCTTTAGTACAAGCGTATAAGTATTTTTTTTTGCGTCATCAATCATAGGCTCAACTAATATTTCTGTTAGCTACGGTTTATGGACGTTTAAACATTTTTTTTTGCTCGAATATCAAATTAAATTTGCAATACCGATCAATAAGACGCCTCCTGTTTTTTAAGGCCCAATTATAATTTTTATGCAAAATACTACCATGACAATTGGTTTTATAAAAATACGAATTAATGTAATTTAAATGCCTGAAACTAAAGTTGAACTTTTTTAACTTATTATAATAAGTATTGCTAAACTAAACTAATTAATGATCGAGGTATTATGATATACTTTAGATAACGTACTTAGAGTTTTCACTGCACTCATTTCTTGAATGCAACGTTCTCGCGCTCCAAAAAAACAAACAAAATAGCGACGCAGTGTTATGATACACATTTTGTCAGTCAAAAATAACAACAGATTAAAAAAATGTCATTAAAAACAGTATTATTTTTCCCATGAATGTGAAATCTTTTATTTTTCACTTTAATTTAAATGTATCAAGAAATTAATGTAGTATACGATTTTACAACATTAAAATGACCGACTTAATTATTCTGTAATATCAGAATCATATGTACAGTGATTTTTTTTTTTTTGGTGCACTAAAATTATAATGGTCTCCATTTTTAAAAATGGCTATGAAAATTATTTTTAATTTTATACAAAAAATCAACCATAATTCATACAATAAAATTATAGAACCAAAAAATTTGAAGTCGATTCATGGTGATGAATTGTTTTCTATAATACAATAGTGATAACCCTTGTAGTGCACATTAACTAACAAAACAACGAGTCAAATTAATATTAAACGTAGTTTAGTGACCTTTAGTTAGTGCCAGATATTTTCACGAGCGTATCTAAGGTTGTATAACCAAATATTGGTTTTTTTAAATTAAAGGTCATCTATATCACTTCACTTACACCTCCGAATTCACAATTTCCTAACATTTAACTTTTTAAAATAAGTCGATATCACATTGATGATACATTACAATGCATATTGCAAATACAAATTATGGAGTGATAATGAAAACGATTAAAATATTAATAATCGATCTGTAATCGAATTGATATGTAGTATACGCAACAATTATAAACGTCGGGTAAAGGACTAACCGCCTCAGTTTACTATTTAGCTCCTCCCAGAAATTCATCAAAATTATATACAATGCTATGTAGAAATTGTATTTTTTTTTTTTGAGGAAGAGAATTAAATAGAAAATTAAATTAATGTAAAAAAAAAACTCGGTTTGTCTAAAATACATATAATTAAAGACGTCTTGCCTCGAGTCTTAAAACTGATTTTGCATTACACGCTAAAAAATATTTACTCTGAATAGTAAAATATATTTAATAAAAAGCGCTTTGAACGGTAGAGAAACGTGTTTTTTAGTTAGGACTTAATAAACTGGTGTTGAAGTCTTGAGGGGGAGATCATTTTTACGTTCATTACTTCAGTATATTTGAGGTGGATTAGCAACATTTTGTTATCCTCAAACCGAAGTCTAACTTAAACATAATCTAACCGAAAAGTCGTTAGCGAGTTGATAAAATACAATGTTTTTAGAGAGTTCTTAGCTGCAGGCTCCGATAGTAAAACGCGATAAGATTAACGATGTCTTCGAAATGTCGTTTAACTGTTACATACCCGGAATCACTTGTACATACGACGACGGTGTGACGAGTCAATCGAGGAAGTTCATGTCTGAGAACGCAGCATGTAAAGAGATGCGCTGGGCGATTATCCAAACGATATCTAACGGTTCAATGCAAATATCATAATAGCACATTTCCTCATGCGGATAGATGAAACAAATTAAAAATTACGAAAGTACCTGCAGAACAGTCTACCTAGATTGTGCAATATACTAAGAAGAACAAGTATTTTCCACGTGGAAATTTGTTTTGAAAAAAGGACTACTCTACTTTTATTGTGAACATCTTTAACTTATTAAGTTATTCAAAATTAAGTAATAAATCTGTGACATTTAGTGAGAAGTATAATTTTCACTGACACGAACCGTTCCCGTGTCTAAAGTAAACATTTATTTATGTCGATTACCAAGAATATATAAATCATTCCAAAGATTAAACAAAATACCACTAGCTCAGAATAAGCAATAATGTCTAATGACATTTGTGACATGTTAAATTATTTAACAAAGGCATTTGAGAAATACGAGGAAACGTTTATGTCCGACCTCAATTATATTTTCAGTTGTTTTTGATGTCATCGGCCAGCGTTTAAATGAAATAATCGACCGAAACCACAGTAAAATATACTCAGAATTAATCGAATTCGGCACCAACACAAACGTTATTATTATTATTGTTGTTGTTATCGGACATCAAAAAACGATTCAAAAAATTTACCACTCGACAAATTTTTTAACAACCGTTATGGTAATAATTCCGCGTCAATCGTAACAAAGCGACGAAATAGATACCAAACCAGAGTACAGTCATCAGCGTTAAATTAATTTACTAATTGTGAAGTACCAAGGTCGTGGATTCACTGTGATAGACAATAACACATGAGATTTGGGCGAAAATGGTTATTTTCTTTCGATTTTTTTCGAGAAAGCATCACGTCCGTCCGATTAACGTGAGACGCCTAATAACAATGAAGTATTCTCAAATGTGAAAAAACGTGTGTACTCGACTGCGAGACGTACCTAAGCTCTAACAAAGTAGTATGATCGTCGCACGTGAAACAAACACTTCACTTTCATCTCTCTTTGCGCATTGCACATGGTGTACAATAATACACGCGTCAACGGCACTGGTATTATCCTTGTTGTACTTGTTATTATTATTGAAGTGGTTCGCATTGTTCTATAGGATTCAATGTATAAGTCGTTGTGGCCTTGATCGTTTGACTCACAAGTCGCTGCCACTTTCTCTGGGGTTCGCCTCTTCGATTCACCAAGGCAGCAAAAATGTAGAACACACGATACGCCAAACAATAAGTAAAAAACTCAATCACGACAAATCGCGGAATCGGCAGGCAAAACCACCCTGACAATTAACAAACAGTACAACAATAAATTTCATTATAGTCAGATTTCAAAAATCGGGTCGCCGCTAATAACCCATTAAAGATATACTGCCAAGCGCTTTACGTGCAAACTTTTAACTGTTAAGTATACGCCTACACTATTTTAATAACGTTCTTAATCATTACATAAATTCGTGATGCTTAGTGTTTATGTAGCTAAGCTGCAATTTTTTATGTCATACCAGTAGCGTAAGTAAGCAGAGCGATGGGGGCCATTACCCCTCTGAAATATATTTTAATGACTGCAGCTTTTAGAGGGGAATTTGCCTACTACAATGTCACACCTACCCCCTAGAGTCACGCCTCTGAAGTGATACGCTTTTGTATTATAGATATTTTTTTTTAATAGGTACTAGAGTGAAAAAAACCCATCAGAAAAAACCTAGTGGGCTTTTTAGGATAAATCCAGGTAACTTTCAAAAACCCATAAAAAATTCCGGATAATTTTTATTTATAAGTTTGCTTTTAGCATAAAAAAAAGTCTATTATTAAAAATGATTTTTTTTTGTTTAAAATAAAACATTGTGCATTTATATTTAATATAATCATTATTTAAAAACATAAAAATTAAAGAAACGATATTTTATTTCCGATGTGGGCTTAGAGGCTATTAGCGATGACATAATATGTTTATATTATTATTATTATTACTTGTTTGTGCCTGTCAATAAAAAAAATATTATTTATGCTATAAGTATAATTATTATTTAAGACGGATTTTTTTCTGGTAAAACTACCCGGGCAATAGATTGATACAAACCCGGTAGGTTAAAACTTTTAAAAATACTGATGTTATGGATTTTTTCAACCCCAATTAGAACTTATAAACAAAAATTTTGTTTTTTTTCTAACTACAAATTTATTTTGATTATGCGATTTTTTTTTA